CAGTTAATCTCTTTGCAGAGTCCTGTGGAATCAGGCAGCAATCTTTTTACCCTGTGCTGAGGGGGAAATAGAAAAAAATCCCAGTCATGACAAATGATGGAATAAACACAGACCTCTCATTTGAGAAACAAACTGGGTTTCTCTCTGCTTGCTTTTCATTCAGCTGCTCCTCCTCATTTCCATCTTTCTCAGCACCACCCCTCCAAAATCCTGCAGCCTTCCTGTCCCAGAAATGAGATTATTTTTCCTCTTTATTTCAGCTACAAGGCTCCAGCAAAACCCGATGGCGTTAACTATATCCGGACAGATGATGAGGTAACAAGTGATTTGCATTTAACATCTCTCTGTTGAGGAGAGGAGGAGGGTGGGCAGAGGACAACCCGCTCTTTTAGGGCCCACAGACTTTCTCTTAGAGTGGGCTCCACTCCGAAACAAGGCTGGAGAACACGGGGAAAACAGAAGGGTGAAGGCTGAGTCATTTCCTTGGAAATGATGAACAGTTTAAGTTGCCTGAAGTGACTGATGCCAGGAGCTATCAGAGGCAGCTCTGCTCTGAGTTATCTCGTGGCCTGACCCCCTCGGGATGAGTTTCATTGGATTAAGTGGGCAGGACATGATGCTTTTTACGAGAGAATTTGTATTTTGGGATTTGAGTAGATCACTAAAGCTTAAGACCAGAAATAGCCTCTGCCATTAGCAGAGACACTGATGAGGGAATGGGAAAGTCTCCTGCCACGCCTTGGTGTGTGAGGACAGGAGGAGGAGGAGGCAGCACCTCACCAGTGCAACTGGTGCCTCCCTCTCCTTCCCAGCTGGAAGATGGGGCTCCCTAAAAATAACACTTTGGATCTACATTTTGGGGGGCAGCAGGAATGCCACATTGCCTGGAAAGCTCCTAAACCCCTTCCTCCATCCCAAACTCTTTCGTTGCAGGGCGACTTCAGACACAAGTCTTCGTTCGTCATATAGGACGCCAAAAGAATTCTGCAAAAACCAGCAAAAGCAAGTGTGAAAATACCTCCTCCAGGAACTCAAAGCAAGAGCAAAAGATTAATTAAGTGCGCTTGGAAGAGTTTGGAACACACAAGAACTCGATAGCTAGCTATCTGTATATCTTTTTTTTTTTCTTTGCCAAAGTTTTAAAGTAACTCCTCACTGCCCAATTCGCGTCTCCCCTGCCTCTGGAGATACCAACAGGATCACCTAACCCTGTCCTTGGGCTAAGGGAGCATTTTAATACTTCCCAAGAGACTGGGCTGGGGAAGTTTGTGGAATTGCCTTCTCTTTGTGCTGCAGGGACACGGCCACAATGTGCAAACCACCCAGGGGGAACAGCTTTAGGTAAACGTGTAGTAGACATTGCTAGTACGTGTTACTAGGAGACAAAAAAAAGGTGCTGATACAGCAGTAGATGGACTTCAAAGAGCGAGATTTATCCATGCAAGGGTTTTTTTTTTCCCCCCAGCAGCTCATTGCCCAGGCCTGGCTGGTGACTTCTACACATTTGGGGTTGTCCTGTGCTTGACTCTGACTGCTCAGGTGGAGAGGGGGGGCGTCTCCGAACAGCCAACAGCGAACACCACTAATGTTCTCAGCCCTTGTGTAAACTTAATTCTTGTTATTTAACACGATGACCCACCAGGCCAGGATTGCTTCTGTTCCCTGCTTTGTAGAGAACTCGTTGCACGCAGGTAACCCCTCCATCTAATCTGCACAAAGCAGACTTGCCTCCTGAGTCCTTTCCGTGCTGAAAGAGGCTTAGAGAGGAGGCACAGAACGAGTGCTAAGACATCCCCTTCAGGAAAATTAAAAGCCAAATACTTTTTCCTGGGCTGAGATTGCCATAAAAGGTACTGAGATATCTTCCAGCTTTTTTTACCTTCTCCGTTTCTTTTGTAAAACCCCACCTTCTAAATTTTTTGCAAAGATCTATTTTGATTACTTCAGAAAAAGGTAACATTTCTATTTAAAGTGTAAATACGTGATGCCAGCAGTGTTTAAGTAACGGAGCTATTTTTTTACTGTTGAAGCTACAGAGAGGAGCTCAAATGTTGCTCTAATATGGCACTGTCAGAGCATATCAGTATTAATGCAAATTTGTATTAAAAAGCTGCAGGTGGAACAGCATCTCTTTCCTCTTAAACCAGCTTCAGCCATTTCCTTGTCACAAGAGGTCTTACCAGACACAGAACAGAGTCACTCAGGGATAGTTTTTGTAAATTTATGGCAGGAGCTATCAACGTTTTTTTTTTTTTTTATATAGGAAACTTCTCTTGCCAGTGACCAACACTTTGTTTTTGTTGTTGCAAGAAATATCCAGGGATGGCTTTTGGATTCAGTTCCAACGAGGTGACAGAGTGACTTCAGTGTTTGCTGCCCCTCTGCAAGTTCCCTAAAGCACTAACACAATGTGACAGCTACAGCAACCCGAGAGGTTTAAACTGCATGGCCAAGGCCACTGTTTCTGGAGTTGGGAAAGCAAAAGCTCAACACAAAAGCACTTTCATAGTGTCAGTTGAAACTTTTCTCTAGGTGGTGAAAGAAAAGATAAAAAAAAAAAAAAAAAGAAAACGAATTTGGTTCTCTTGGCTTGAGAGAGAATAGCTGGAAACACATGGAAACATCCACGCTGGTAGTGTTGAACAGCACTGGGTGATACAAGATGTGGATGCAACACTAGAACTGTGCTGTGGTTTAAGAAGTTTTTTAATGTAGCATAATTTAGTGTTCTTGTATTTCCAATATAAATTGAGTTGTCTTAACTTTTCCTGTATACAGTATTTTGGATACTTGACGATTTGGACTGTCAGTGTTATTTTTTAGTGTTCTGCATTACTCTGCTTTGTTTCCTAAGGCCCTCTCTGGACATGCCATTGCTGCATTTGTTTTGCCTAAACAAAGCATTTCCACTCGTCCTTCTGCTGATGAAAGTAAAAATAAGGATGGGGCAGCAATAACCAGATGTTCTCTGTGTAATTCAGACATTACCACTGCTCCTTTGCAACTATACTCTGGTTACCTTCCTAAGACAAGCTCTGCAGCCAAGCCACCCAGTCCTGATTGCTGCCTCTAATCATTCTGACATTCCTTGGCACCCCCTGGATATCCACTGCTCCTTCTCTATGCTGCTGCAAGGATACTTGTAATAAGGGAGAGAGAGGAAAGGAAGGAATCAGGGGAGCTCTGGGCACTCTGGGAGCACAATCCACAGTCTCACCAAGCAGCCTTCCTGTGAAAAACCAGCAAAGCTAAGAATCAGAACTTTCATTCTTTCCAGTTCCAAAATGCACAGTGGCATCTCTAACGAGAGAAGGGGAGGTGATCCCCCCCTCCCCACACAGCTTGTGGGAGCTGATGGATGGATTTCATTGTATCGTTGTGAATAATATTCAGGTTTGTACTAATGTATTACGTTTAACTTTGCCAAGAATGTTTTACATAAATACCAAGCTATAAAGCATTCTTGTAGGGGTTTTTGTTTGGGTTTGGGTTCTGTTTTCAATTCAGTGAAATAAGGGAAGTGCTTCTGTCAGAGCACGCACTTATTGGGATGAAGGTGTCAAAGTCCAAGGTGTGTTGCTGTTAATCAGTTTTTTCCTTGGACATTTGTGTATTCCTGGTTCTTCCCTAGAGAAAACTCATTAAGGCACACAGGGCACATCTCAAATACTGCTTGAGGACAGAACAAAAACAACAGAAGCACAAAGTAGGAAATAAACTATCCCAATGAACCACTCAGAGTGGTTAAATGATAATTTAAGGCAGGAGAAGAGGTATGGAATAAAAGGATGTGGCCATAATCGACCATCCCTTAAGCCAGAGCCATTCCATACATCCTCTGTTCCCAGGTTTTGGCTTCGATTTTGGGAATACAAGGTTAACCTCACTGGAAGGTTTCTGTGATCTCCAAAACAGAGTAGGGAAAGTGAGGGCAAATGATGGGATTCCAGGGCAGGAGGGAAGTGTCTCTGTTTCCACTCCTGCAGCAAAGCCTGAGTAAGACAAACCAGCAAGAATAAAACAGATCCCAGTCTCAAGTTCCAATGAAATCCAGGGCACGAGCTCTGTGACAGAAGGGAACCACAGGAAAACTTCAGTGAGGTTCACGTGGCATCAGGGAGACTCAGGAATGCTCAGATTCCAGCATTTCCACAGCACAGTTCTAAGTCACCTGCACAGGGCACACAGCTCTGACTTACCCGCCGTGATTTGAGTCATATCCTGCTTGCAGTTAAACCAGAGGCTCTGTTTAAAAGCTGCTGGGTCCAACGTGAATAATTGAACTGAGGGCCCAAGATACCAATGGTGTGGTAGAAGAGACTTAAGAGGCTGTAGAAATCTATAGAAAATAAAAAAAAATATCATTTCTCTGTCAGCTCAACAAGAGGGGAGACGGCGTGGGCGGAATTAATTCTGTAACCATTTATTTTCATCAAATGCTAATAGTTGGAAATAACACAGTTCAGGAATGGAAATATTCCATATAAAAAGAACATTAAGGCTGTTCATACACACAGGAGTTTGTGCAACAAATAAGAGGTGATGTAGCGTGCAATTACCAGATTTAGGGGTGTGGCAGCGACAAGCTGTTTTACCTTTTCATCAAATTAAAGCAACTATTATAAAACCAAGAGGGACCACAAGGGCTCGGGTGAATAAGCCCAGACCCTCACTGCCCTGCAAGCTGTGATAAATGCATTTATTGTGGCAACACTGCACACTCACTTTTTCAAGTGGACAAATTACACATCCTGAGAGCGAAGAGCAAACCCCCCTTTCTGCTGCAGCTCCCCAGCCCTCCACAGTGAGCTCTGTCAGGAGCAGCAGCTTATAATGTGCTAATGCAGGCTTTGTCTGCCCATGTTCTGGGCAGTGCTGTGGAAAAAGCCAGCTAAGAATAGACAGATAAGGAAGGACGTGTGCTCCCAATTTATAATTGCAGAGGGGAAGGTTTCAGGCAAGGCACCGTGGTGATCCTGTGCACGAGCTCAGTGAAAGGCTCATTGTTTCGGTTTCTGGGAGGCTTTGCGGTGGGACCGTCTCGGAGGGGCTTGCTGGCTGCTCCTTCTCCTGGCTGGGGACTCCACGTTCCACTGCCGAGGTGGGGCTGGGCTGGAAGAAGGAAGCAGAACCACCATTTATTTATTTCCAGGCACTCGACCAGCCTTTCCCCCCCCTGCAATTTCCGGGCTGAACTTACGGTTCCTCCGGCGATGGCAAACAGATAATATCAGTTGGCTTATCCTCATCGTCATCCTCTGCAAAGGACACACACATTTTGGTATTTAAAAAAAAAAAAAAGCCACAGGTTTGATCATTTGGGTTTGGTTCCCCCCTCTCCTCCCCAGAGGGGGATCCCAGAGATGACTTGCCTGGAGCCAAACGGGGTGTGTGTGTCAGGCTGATGCGACTGACCCCAGCACCAAAACTCACGTCATCAATGGTCTCTGGAAGAAAACAGAAGTAAAAGAAAGGCAAGAACATATTAACAGTCAGCTTGTGACACAGCCAGAGGGCAAGGCATGCTGTGAAATTTTTAAGTGTCACAGAGTAAGTAAATCCAGTTAATTGCAAACACACACACACACACACACACACATATATATATATATATGTATTTTCAGCCCACCAGACCTCAGTTTCTCCCATCCAGCCTCTGTACTGAGTCTGATGGGCCACTGTGCACATCAGCTTCACACTCCAGCTTTCCTGGGTGGAGGAAATTCCTTAAATAGGGGACGGTGTGCCTCCTTGTCCTGCCCTGGAGGGAGAGCCACACCTCCCACTGAAGCTTTGCCCTCTTTCATAGCAACATGTTCAACCCAGACCAGTTGCTCTGCCTGGTCAAGGCAGGGTCTGGAAACCAGGGGCCCCTGGAAACAGCCAAAGGACCTGAGCATGTTCCATGGGGAGCTGCCTGCAGCCAGACAAGAGGAATCACTTGACAAGGGAGCTGGGTAGAATTTAGCTTGCCTGAATAGGCCCTAGTTGTCAGCTGTCTCTTTCCTGTCATTTATCTCAGGAGAGATGTCACAATATTCAGATTTTACTTAACTCAACGCTCTGTTTTATGCTCATGTTTCCCAGAACCTTTCACAAGGAATTAAGGTAGGAAGTGTTTCATAGGGCAGGAGTTGAAAACTCAGCTAAAAGGACTTTTCTTTACAGCTTTAACTGGGTTTGCTCTTTTAACTCCTGCCCTGTCCTGGAAGGGAATCACTGAAGCTTAAGAGTGGAAATCCAACTTGATCCATCTGCCTTAGCTCTTCTCTGCATCTCTCAGGGATGGCCTGTGTCAGTGTCCTGACTTTATGCAGTGAACAATTTACCTTTGTGTGCCTGAACAATTTACCTTGGTAATGAGACACAGGGGGCAAAGAAAGGGGGGAGCAAAGAAGTATCAAGTAGGGCTTCCCATGCAGTGGGGGAAGGTGGTATCTTCACAACACGTTTATTCATGTGCAATCCCCACTCACCCAGACCCACTTAGGCCATTCTCAGAGTAACAAGCAGGAGATGAGCCCCAAAGACAGAAGGGAAGAGAGAGACAGACAGAACAGCTGAGTAAGGCAAAGAGGAGGCACAGCTGCTCCCAACTTCTCAAGTACAAAAGTGTTTACAAAGAACTGCATCTCCAGTACTTTTAGAACGATCTACCAGAGTAATGGACGTGTTTTATTCTGATTGTCTCTCAGCCCGCGAGACCCAGCGCCACCATACAGATGGCTCCACACACGCCAACTGAAGTGATGATCCTGCTCTGTACAGTTTGTCTCCCTGCTGAAGGACACATGCTGCCTCCAAGCAGAGGAGGGATTCAGCCCTAGTACCACTGCAGATTAACATTTTTTCCTCTTTTTTTTCACCATATGGTGCTTGGGAGAAACAGCCGCGCAGCCTTCCAGAGACGTGGTGCTTGAAGAATTCTGCTCTCTAAAAAACACATCCCCAATTTTTTTTTTTTTTTTTTTTTTTTTTTTGCACTAAGACCGTTGCTTGTTGCTCAGGCAAAAGAGAAACATCAGGGCGGACAACTCTGAGCACAGAGGGAAGAGCAGGATCAGATTTTCCAGTGGATGCACACCACTGGTTCGCTCCTGCCCGCTCACGGCTGTCAGGTATTCCCAGACTGCCTTACTGGCTCTGTCTGCTGTGTGTGTGCAGGGCAGGGGGATGCAGACACAGGCAGAGACAGCTCAGACAGCTCTGTCTGGGAATGCCAGACCCTCCCCACAGCAACCCCCAAAGCCTGATGAGAGCTGACCTGTCACACACCCACTTCATGTGGAGCTCTCCCCGGAGCACGTGAGGGTGTTCATCACACAACTCACACTACAGCAGAGATGCCCTAAAATTGACAGCAAGGAGGGGAATCTCCTGCTGGAACTCAGATCCATTTGTGTTTTACTGTAACTGCCTCCTGTGCTTGCAGGGCTGTCAGAAAGCATTCCAGTAAAACCTGCCTGTGGATGGTCAGGCCCTGTGAGAAGGCAGTTCAGCTGGACATAAGCACAGCAGACAATCCCAATTTGTCCATCAGATTCCTCTCTGTGTATTTTTACTTTCATTTCCACAGCAGTAAGAAAACCAAATCACTCCTTCTCCGGTGCTCAGCTCAGTTCTCTCTCGGCATGGAACATACACACTTGGTTACTGTGCAGGTTGTTAACCCCTTTGGGCAGATCTTTGTGTTCTCCTGCACTTTTTTAACCCTGCTGCCTGCTCCAGAAGCAGGTTGTAGCTCACCCCAGATCCTGTTTGGACAACAGGAACCCCCTTAAAGCTGGAAAGGGCCAGACCTTGAGGATTTCCTTCTGCAGCAGGTTCTGTAACTCAGTCTAAAAATGCTCAGCTCTGCTTCCAGAGCCAAGGAGAGCAAGTGTGCAGTCTTGCACATTTTGGGCAGTGCCAGTAAGGAACCACAACAACATTCCTCCTCAGCACTCCAGAGTCGATGAAGGAAGAGAGGGCTTTGTTACTTCAGCATCCCAAAACACGTTCTCTCCTGCCCTGACCCAAAGCTCTGATACCCTGGGACGTGCACATGGGGACTACTGGACTGTCCCTTCCCATGAAACCACCAGTTTTGGAGTGCTTCTTCTTTACTACAACCCCTTACATAAATCAATAATCCACAGCTACTCCTGGCTGGTTTTCTGAGCCCTCCCTTTAGGGAAGGCTCTGCACTGATACCTCTCTCTCTCTCAGAGAAGGAGCGCTCAGCCCAGTTTGGGAAGGGCTTCCTGGGTTATACTCACGCTCTGGGGTGCTGATGGCACGACCTGCCAAGGCCACCTTGTCTCCAGAGGACTGTCCATTCAGGTTTTGAAAGGACACTAAAAACAACAAGGAAATAATTACGAACAGAAACGCATTCAAGACTCAAGGGCCTAAGTAGAACTGTGTAAAACTGGATCCAGTGCAGTTTGCAGTGATGTTCCTACCATGCTTGCTGCTTGCTGTGCTTGATGCAGCTGATAAACTCCTCCTGGCACACTTCCTGAGCTGCTCTTCCACAGCCTTCTTGGCAGAGTTCAGGATGGCCAGTGTGTTCAGGGATCGTGCCCTAAGGACAAAAACCAGGACAGAAAAACTTCTCACTCTTCTGCTCTGATCCTGTTGGTAATAAATTTGATGAACATCCCCACTTTGAGTCTGTTTTGCCCGTGATGGTGATCAGTCAGTGACCTCTCCCAGCTCTTCACTCACGAATCCTTTGCTGTTTGTTTTCCTCCCATCTGCCCAGTTGCCGAGGGGAGGGAGAGAGTGGTTTTAGTGGGTACCTGGCACCCAGCCAGGGCCAACCCCCTACAAACTGGTGACCTTCAAACCACTCAGGAGTGCACCAGCAAAGCAACAGCCCTGCAGGGCATCATAAGATGGAACAAAGGAGAAACCCATACCTGCGACCCAGGAACTGCTCCTTCAGGGCACCAGCACGAGCTGCAGCCAGCTCAGAAGGCACGGAGGAAGGGACTGATCCAGGAGGCTGAGCAGTGTTATTCTGGCCACCAAGAGGTGCAGCTCCCTCCAAAGATGGAGATGCCTATGCAAAACAGGAGAAGAGATCATATATCAGTGGGTACAAGAGCAGAAAACCCTACAAGACACTTGGACCTGCATGCTGCGTGATGAAGAACTGCCCTTTTGTGTGATGGAGGTAAAGGGGTGCAAGGGAGGAAGAATTTATTGGCCAAAACTTTAACAAGAAGTGAAAAGAAAGTTTTGCTGGGACACACATGTCCTAGTTTAGAGGTCTATATATAGGTGCTCTTCTAAAGTCTGCAGAGAAATGTACTTCCAGGCTAGAAGTCACCTCATCTTAAGGTAGGTATCTAAAATAGTTCAGGACAATTGACTCAAGCACATACTTATTTCTTTACACTGACTTTAAAAGAGGACCTGCATGACGAGGACAGGTGTGAATTTCCACTCTGTAGACACCTAAAGTCAAAGTGAACTCTTTGGCCAGTCCATCACTGTGGGAACAGAGAGCAACTAAGCACAGCCAGTGCCAAATTAGACTTAGTTTTCCCTTTAAATTAAGTTCTTTCTACATTCATCACTTGCTGCTCCTCTTTGCCTAACACGTGTTGATGTTCTGAGCGTATCAGTAACCCTGAAACCAAAGGTCCTGCCAAGAAATGTGAAGAGATATAGCAGAAGGCTTATGGAATGTTCTCATAAGTGATGGAAGAAGGTCCACAGACAGAGTTTGGGGGGTTATGAGCACCCTAATTTCAAGAGAGGAGACCGCACATGCACAGACTTAACAGCACCAACAACCTCTGCCTGCGCTGCCAGGACCTGCTGGTGGCCTGACTCCTCCTCCCTGGCCAGCTGCTCTTCATATTTCCTCATGTCATACTCCAGCTCGGCCGCCAGCCGCTTGTCCGCGGCGAAGATGTCTTTGATTTCGGTTCGGTAATCCTGCATCGTTTCCTGCAGCAACGAGGAACGTTGAAACCCTCTCAGAAATCCCTCCTGATTCCCATTCCCCATTCAGATCACAGCTGCTTAAGGCGCAAAAGGAAATACCAGTTGGTGGAGCAGAGGTGTTTTTAACAGACTAAGAGTTTCAACTCCAATTTGCGCTTCAGAACATAAAAAAGCTTTTCCAGCGTTCAGGCTTTCTACCCACGTTCCACAGAGGAGGCTCACACGTAACACAACCAAGATCCTTATCTAAAATCCCTTCACCTCCTACATTATTTAACACAGTGGCAGTGTCACAACATCATCTGTCTGCTAAATTTCCCTCTAAGAGGGCTGCTCGTTCTGTTACTGGTTGCACATCCAACACACCAACTCAGGAGAGGATTAAAACCCCCAGGCCAGCAGGAAAACATTTCCCCTTACCCGTAGGTAGTTCATCAGGTCCTTAAGAGCTGCCATCCTCTTCTCCTCCATCAGAGACTTCAGTGCTGTGATTACTGGGATGATGTTTTCTATGAGATTCTTCTTCTGAACCTTTTTTTTTTTTTCAACAAGGCACGAACAGTTAGACGACGCAATAAAGGAGAAGCCACTCTGGTTAGATGAATGGCCTAAGTGAGAGGAGCTGTCCCTCCACAGCAAGAGAATTACTGTAATTAAGGCTGCTCTTACTCATGCACAGAGGCTTTTAACCTAAGTGGAGTCTTTTCAGATGCATCACTAAGTCACTCAGTTCTCACACTGAAGGCAAGTTGCCCAAAAGGTGCACCAAAAAAAACATTGTTACGCTCAAATGCTTTGCCAACAACAGAGTTGGGGAGCAAATTCAGCTCAGCACAGCTTCACTGGGCTCTGAGGAAACGCATTTCTCGTCACTCCAGCTCAAAAACAAGCATCCTTCACAAGTTTTCCCTTAATGCTTTGTTTTTACAAGACCCAGAGCTCCCACAGGTGCCCATCCCTCCCGCCACACCAGACCAAGAGCCCTTTACCTGCGAGATGAGCTTTTTCTGTGCCACCTGTACAACAGTACTGGCCACTGTCATCTCGTCTTCATCGGTCTCAAGGTCTTCCTCGGGTTTGGACCTCAGAGTTGAGAGCTTGATTTCTTTGCAGCTGAGGACTGTGAACGTATCTGAGAGCAGCTCATCGGCTTCCACGTCCAGTGGAAGGACCCCATCCACAAAGCAAGCTGGAACACCAGCAGGGAAGAAGTGAGGAGTGAAATAAGAAGTACTTTCCCAGAAGCAGCGGTGACGAGGAAGACAGGAAGATAACACACCTGGGTTATGAGCCTGAGGGGGGCTTTTCTTACAGACACCAGTTCTTTGTTTGCTCAATTTTTTAAAGCCATGCCTTACCTAGGATGCTGTCGCTGATCTTGGTTGTAATGCGGAACCTCTGCTCGTCTGTGAAATGCTCCAGCAGGAAGGTGTAGATTTGCATCCTTTTTTCTCTGTTATCTTTCCCCTTCAGAGAGAAGAGATGCTTCGCCCTGTGGCAGAGCAAGACGTTTTACAAGGGCCCGAGTCACGTTATGCCAGCTCAAGGGAATAATAAGACTTCAAATCAGCGAGGAATATTTGCGTGCCACTTTCAAGACCCATAAGCCTGTTAGGACACCACACAGTCCCACAAATTACACGAAGAATTCCTCCCAGCAGTGTCACAGGGAAGGCAGGACACAATTTAACGCTGTTTCCCCCAGCTGTTTTCAGCCTGTTGCATATGTAATGGGGAACTGACACAAATGCTTTGCTGCCACTGGGAGCTGCGTGGCCAGACAGCCCAAAATTCAGCAGAAATCAGACAGAAATGTGCTCAACTGACCGTGCACTCTGGGGGAACCTGTTGTACTTCCCGTGTTTCTCATAGCTATTGAAGTGGAAGATGCACTCAATGAAGTGTTGGGAGAACATGACTGGGTTCCTCTTCAGTAAGAGATGCGCCAGGCAGAACTCTGTAAGACTGGAAAGGAGGAAAAGAAAGATCTTATCATCTAAAAGCCACCTGTGAAACACAGTACAGGGGCTCTCAAGGCAGGAGGATGGTTTTCCTCTGCCAAGTCTCCCTCAGTACCACATTTAATTCTTGCCCAGCTCCATCTGGGCTGGAACAAGGATATCAAGTTCACTGACTTTCAGTCTTTTCTCATCCAGAAACAGACATTTCCAGCATCCACAACCCTACTTATTCTTGTGGCCATCAAAGTAAACAGAGTCAGAAATAAATCTGAACTTCAATTATTTAAATAACTTACGTTCTGCTGTGGCTGAGGCACAGCAATTAGCAACAAGTTAATCACCAAAGGTCCTGCAAGAGCTGCAAGTCAACCCCAGACCTGAAGAATGTGGTTTTGTCTGGATGCAGTCACTGAATGCAGATGCAAAGAAAGAAGGCTCCCAAAGAAGCAGCACCATGTTCCTGTAGGAACATGATGCTGCAATGTCACCATCTACTGGAAAGACATTTTTAGATATTAAAAACCTCACTGAAGAGAAAAGAAAGTGTCACTGTGCACTAGTAAGTGACAGTAGGTTGATGGTCCTGGAAAAATCCATCTTCAGACTGATTGCTCCAGGCAGAAACAAGCAGCAAGGTATCCAGGCCTCCTCTGCATCCAGCATCCCTCATCCCTGCACAATCTCCCATCCTTGGAGAAACCTGCCCTGCTCATCTCTCAGGTAACAGAGCAGATGGAGACTTTGAAACCTACAGAAACCTCCATAAACATTCACCCAAAGCCAGGGTGCGTAATTCCTGGTGGCAGAAGGCTGAAAAGGCAGGGCATATCATATAAGACAATAAAGAAAATATTTAATCCTAGTCCTGAAAGAAACTCAGCAGTCAAGACAGAGCCTCTCAGAAAACCACAAGAAAGATTTCACAAAGGCTTGTTTCAAAAATTCCTTTTTTTTCTGGAGTCTAAGCAGAGCATGTTTTGAGGACAGCCAAGGACACACAGCTTGCTACTTTGGGACCTTTAAATGACCTGGATAGAGGCTCAACCCCTCCTCTGCTACCACAGAGGATCCTAAAGCCTGAAAAGCTGAGGAAGTGAGGAGATTAATGGGATAATCTGCTCTCTCCCTGGAATTTTTCTTCACATGTGGAGATGCAAGGCTGAGACTGATTTTGAGCACATCTCTGACCTTCTCCTCCACTGTTTCCCAGTTGAGGATTTTACCTGGCGATGTCTGGGACTGGATCCACCAGGACACTGACGAAACGGAAGAAGAGACCATCCTTCCATTTCACGTACTCCTCCTGCCAGAAAATCAGCAGAAAACAAATCATCAGTCAGGAAAACTACATGTGAACCTCCAGACTGTAGTCAGGACAGCATCTGATGGAGCCTACAATGTACATCAGGCAAAGGAAGCAGCTATGAAACCTCATCCAGAGGTAGGCAAAATAAAACCCCAAAACAACGGTGTTTGGGAGGATGTTTCAAGCAGGTTAGCCACTGCAAAAAGTAAAAAAAAAATGAAAACTCTGTTCTCCCACCCAAAGGCAGAGACTGTTTTCAGAGTTTCATGCACTCCAAACCTGCCTTGAGTGACTTCATGTGAACATTGGGAGGGTAAACATCTTGAGCCTCTCAACATTCACATCTCCAGAACAATGAGCAGAGACAGCAGGAGAAAAAGGTGCTGTGGTACCTGCTGTAGTCATTCAGAGAGGAGTGAAGCTGAAGGGAGTTCAAAGAAACCACGACGAGAAAAGAGGTAACCACTGACTAAAAATAACCTCATTATCCAACTTTAAGTGTCGCTGATATGATTTCTGCCTAACCAGCAAAAAAAAAAAAAATAAAAAAGGGAAGTAACAAGAGATACAGTTCAAAGTATTCCTAATTATGTGTAGATTCATGAAGGTACAAGCAATACAGGCACTGGACAGGCTGCCAGGATTCATCCCAGCTCAGACCCTCTCCTTACCTGCAGGAGGTTGGTGAGCAGGATCAGGGTCTGCTTACGGATGAGGGGACTTGGGTCCTTCAGGCACAGGGAAACGTTGGGAATGTATCTGTCCACCATGGATGTGTAACGGATGCACAGGTCACACAGCACAATGATGACGTTATTCCTGACAGCCACGTCCTGGGACACCTCCAGCTCCCGGGCCAGAGGTGCAATGCTGTTCTTTGCCAGCTCCTCATGCTGTAAGCACAGTTTACCTGTGAAACACGACAAGACTGTGAATGTATTCTCCTTCCCAACCACCCCAGCCCAGCTCACTGCCTTCCTTCGAGTCCAAGAGGAGCCAAGAAAGGAATCAGGAAGTAAACAGGGGAATAAACAAGAAACTCATGCTGAAACTTGATGAGCAATCTGCACGATCTCTCAAAGAGATGGTACTTCAAGTTCTTCCAAACTCCCCTTAGACCTATAGAGTGGGTCTCTATGCCAAATTCCCTCCTTCACAGCAAACTATTTCTGTGTACAGGGTATTATTCAAAGCAGCTAAAAAGAACAGCCCCAGCTGTCATAGGCATAGCAGGGAGACACCCACCTCTGAGAGCATCACTGAACCAACTTAAAATAAAATAGCCTGCGTTCTAACATCGCTTCTCCCCGTTTCTAAGCTCTGTACAAAGGTATTAAACTTTCCAAAGCAGTTAAGGAAAGAATAATGCTGTCTATCTCCAACAGAAGAGACTTGTTCCGAACCACAGTGGTATTAAAAAACAGAACTTGCACTTGGTATTCTTCATAATCCTGGGGGTACAGATTGACTAGGCTTCTCCTCACTCTTGTTGGGGAGAACAAGTAACCATGTACAGTCATGCTGCTCTAAACTACATCAAAAGCACCAAGTTTTCTTCACCCTCTGTTGGGTATCTTACAGGCAAGATGATCCTTCAGCCAGACAGCAGCCAGCTCCGAGCACAAGGACAGCACAGTGCTGAAGGACATTGCTAATTATTGATCACTATTAATGCATTAACCACCTGGAGAAGCAGTCACAGAGCTGGCAGGGTTTTTATGGCTTGCCCAATTTGTTACCATGGATATTTGCATTGCTAAAAGCTGCGAGCTGAGGTAATGCAAACAGAGCACTGTGGATATCTGTCACAGCTGACACAGAATTATTTAGCAAAAGACCTCGGAGTTCATCCTGTCCAACCTGTGACCACCCTGTCCCCCAGCCCAGGGCACTGAGTGCCACATCCAGTCATTCCTTGGACATCTCCAAGGATGAGGACTCCACAACCTCCCTGGGCAGCCCATTCCAACATTTAATAACCATTTCTGTGAAGAAATTCGTCCTGATGTCCAACCTGAACTTTGAAGCTATTCCCTCTCATCCTACACTTGTTACCTGGGAGCAGAGCCTGACCACCACCTGGCTCCCAACTCCTTTCAGGAAGTTGGAGAGTAAAAAAGTCCTTCCTGAGCCTCCTTTTCTCCAGGATTTTGGGCAGAACTTCCCCAGAAAGGCTGAGTGCAGGGGGACACTTACCCAGAGCGATGAAGGCATGGGCCCTGACCACGGAAGGCATGGTTGAGCCTCTGAACTGGGACAGCGGCTGAAAACCCGCACTCTCCTCACTATCCAGAGATTTAGCCACTGGAAAAGAGCAGGCCAGGAATGAAAACAGGGTAAAGTGCCTGTAAACACAGAGCTGAAGGCAGCAAGGGGAGTGCCTCACATTGGTCCTTGTCGACAGAAGCCAGGATGGACTGAACCAGAAGGAAGGTGTGTTCGCCCACTCTGGCTGGGCACTGCTGGGCAGCGTGCCCCAGGAGGAGGAGGTGTCTCACCTGCACAGATAAAGCACCACTGCAGTCAAAAGGCAACGGCTGAGCTGCAAATTAAGTCAGCAGGAGTCTGTACTTCTCCAAAAAAACAAGTTTCCTCAGTCCTTTCAAGAAGGCAGTGGCTGAACAGAAGGTGAGGCTTTGAAACAGAAGTCCTGGGTGGGTGTGTTTGATATGCTCTAACCCCCCACACTTCTAATAATACTGAAATACTCCTCAAAGCACTCCATGCCTTTTACAGACTTGTTTCCTAAACAGCTCATCTAAGAAGTTGGAGTGGAAAAGCAAAGAAAAAAAAAAATTTTATTAAAAACACATGGGGTATCACATCCTTAAAGCAACTGCTGACATGTAAAGCTGTTGCATGCTCCCAGGCTCATAAATACATGATTTCATTACACACACAAGGCATGCACATTCCCATTATCCCAGTTATTGGCATGAACTTTCAGGAACACCAATTCCAAGTACACCTACATCCTTTGAATAATCTGTGAAGGGGAACCAAACTTACCAAGAGATCTTCTTGCAGCTGCTTTGCTCCATCCTCTTTGAGGACTATATTCGAAATATAGCTCTCACAGGTGGATACTAAATCTCCAAACACCTGGTTGAGCAGCTCCTGTTCCATAATTAAACAAAATTAATTCAGCACTTAATTAATTAAACAAAAGGCAGCAGTAATATCTGTCCACACATGAATCCCTAATATCAAAGTCCTTATATGCTTTTAATAATCTAGATCCTATTAAAGTCAATCTGACGGTGCCTTAGAGCTTTAAAATTCTTCCTGCACATCAAGGGATGTGTGCAAGTGTCAAAATACCTTGGAAAATCTGGCTTTTAATGATCCACAGGTCTAAGTTTACTTCATTATAGAAATCACAGAGACTTAAACAAAAAGGATTTAGGCGACTGTTTCATGTACACTCAACACATTCGAGGTGTCTGTGTGAATTTTTAGATGTTGCTTGGAAAGTGCAGCTCCATGACAGTGAAAACACGATGTTTCACTTCCAAGGGATGGAAGGGAAATGGAAAAAGCTTGTCTAAATTGTCTGCTAGATTGTGACACACATCACAGTATCAGCTAGGTTGGAAAAGATCTGAGATCGAGTCCAAGCTCTGCCCCAGCCCCACCTTGTCACCCAGACCATGGCACTGAGTGACAAGTCTAGTCTGATCTTAAACCAGTCTGATCTCCAGGGCTGGTGACTCCACCACCTCTCAACCCTCGAGTTGTTTTCCATCTTATTCCCTCTCCCTTTTCTGGGAAGGGGAGTGATAGAGAGGCTGGGTGGTGTCCAGACAAGGTCAACCCACTACAAAGAGAAATATAAAACACACACAAAGAGATATCATTAGAGACAGAGACCTGCATCAGTTTTAGCTTCTTTGCAACTGTGCTGTGGCTGAGATCTCTGTTTTACCAGCAAAATATGGCTTAACATCCCACTGTGGGAGCAGGGCAAAGCTAAGGCATAAAACAAATGGGGCAGAAAAAGGTTATGTGCAAGTTATTAACTCCCTGTTTAGTCCCATGGAAGAGATCTAGAAAATATGTGTATGTCCAGCAGCTCTGCTATAGAATAGTCAGAGATTAGGGTATAAATCTATGGCTTCAGACTGGACCAAGACTGAGAAATAGTTGCTATAATAAAACCACAGCAACAGGTCTCCTTTAGGAGTTCTGTGAACTCGGACAGAAAGCAAAAGCAAGATATTTAGAGGTGTGTGGGGAGATACTCTGGAAGAAAGAAGATTTCTTACAAGTCCATCCTTAGCTACAGGATGTTCTCCAGCACAACTGCAGCAAAGCAAGTCGGAGTTGAGCAGAACAGGCTTGAGATGATGAAGTCAGATCCTCTTTTTTAGAACTAATCAACCCACAAACTGGAAACAGAAGCTGCCTCCAAGACACAGCCCCCCCTGTGTGGGGAACAAGCTATTTTAAAAGGCTATTTTAATAAGTTATTTCAAGCCACACCTGAGCCTTCTCTGACACACATGCAAACCCACGGCAGAGCTTCTGCAGGGTCTCCACAGCAGGGCTCATCACCTCCAAGGGCCACTGAAACTCCTTCAGCCAGCACTTGATATTGTCTGGAAAGGAGACCACACATAAAATGAGCACTTTTTAAGCTTATCAAGTGCTTACACATAGCAGAAATAATTTCTGGGAGGGGAGGCAGGAAGCCTCCCTTCCCCTCTGCAGCCCCTCAGGGCCACTCACCAATCAGCCTCTCGCAGGTGTTTTTTGGGAGGTGCTTTGCCACGTGCCCGATGGCACACAGGACGTGTCTGGTGATAACAGCGCTCGTGTTCTGCTGCCTGGAAAACAGGGGAGCAGCCAAACCAACGTGAACAGCAGCTGAGGAAACAAACCACAGCTGAAGAGTCCTTTCATCTGGGACATGCATTATTAAGGCAGAGCTGTCAAACCCAATGAAAGCTCAGAAAGCTTGAGGAAAGAGTTGGTTACTGCACGAATCTCGGGGCCATTTGTTGCCTCCCAGCTGCAGAACCCACAGCCTGAAGAAAGACACAAAGTGCTCCCTTGTTTTGCTCCTCCTCTTCACTCCCACCTCCTTCCCACAGACCAGAGTTTCAAGTGCACACACAAACCTGCCCACACTGTCCCAGGACTCAATGACCTCCGAATAATCCATCCTGGGTGAAGAACTTGTCACCTCAGCAAGCAGCATCCAAGCTGCCACAGCACGTTCCGTTTCCACGTGGGACAGGAGGTTACGGATGAAAGTGGGGGTGAACTTGTTCTGCTGGGACCAGGTGCTGAAAGCTCTGCTCAAGTAACCACTACAGAGAAGAAAGAAGAGTAAATTAGATGAGGAATAAACAAAGCAGTTGGTAAAACCCACGAAAAATCCCACATCCCTGTCCAGGAAATGCTGGGCAATAAAACAAAGCTGCTGTCACTTGGCATTCCCATTATTCACACTCAGAATTTACACATTTAATATGCATTTTTAGTCTTCTAGTTCAAAAGCCTGACCCACTCCAGTCCTGGCATCCTTGAATGAATGTAGTGCTGTGGGGCAGGAAGACAGAAGGTCCAAGTGGTGCCTCGACACAGCAAGAAAATATAATTTCAGCCATTTGTAACACAGACTTTCCAGCAGTTGTTATTTAATACCCAAAATAGAATGGCCTGGGTTGGAAAGGACCTTGAAGATCATCTCATTCCAACACCTTGCCATGGGGAAGGACATCTTCCACTGGTTGTTCAGAGCTCCATCCAACCTGGCCTTGAACACTTCCAGGGACAATGGGACAGAAAAGTCATCTTAAGGTGCCATACCCTGCTAATTTTTTTGGTTAGCCCTAATTATTTGCTTCATGTTGGAAGAGCTGGCAGGTACTCTAAGGTCAGGAAGAAGAAGGTGCCATGAATCTGCAAACTCTGTTACAAAATAGCCCAAATTAGAACATTGACAGTCCCCCGGATTGGCACAGCAGCACCACCAGTATCTCATTTTCTATTTCTGAGCTATTATGCCCTGTTGACTAATAAACATACAGCTGTCTTTAATCAATGTTGTGTCCTTGTCATACTGTGTGTCATCCCATTTCTCCTGCTTCTTCCCACAGCATTCTGCAAAAGGCAGAATAATTCGATTTGTCATAAGACAAGTAACATATTGTACATAAGAATTAATACAAGGTGATGTTCTTGCTTTATATATCCTCTCTCACTTCTGTCAGAGGAACACCTCCATTTGAGTTGAATATTCATGTGCTACCAATGCATGCAGAACAGGCTGTAACCAACACTCAAGTCCAGGGAGAGAGAGCACAGGTAACAAGAGCAGCAAGTGAAAAACACTTGACACAAAGGAAAACTGAACCCTCCTCACCACCTGCCAGCCTGTCCATGCTCAACAGCTCCTCTGTCCCAGGAACTGGCAGAGCACCACAAGCACCTCAACGTGCTAGTTTCCATCCCTAGCAGTAACACGAACTTCCCCTCGTTCTTTCAAGCAGGGAATTTAAATTGCTTAAAAGAAATCCCCGGGAAATTGAGTTTCTTGTCCTTGCACAACAGACAGCACGTGCATTTTAACAGTGTGTCAACTGTGATACCTAATAATCTGTGGCCACACAGGGGATGAGAGCACAAACTCATATTCTTATCTTAGCCCTCCAGTCAAGAGGCAATTTCTTTCTGTAAAGGAAAAGTTGTGTGTTCTGGCAGGATTAAAAAAGTTAAACAAGTCTGGATTTTGTTCCTGAATGTTAATATAGTGAAGGCAATAAAAGCATCCCATATACATTGGACAAAAGGGTATTTCAGAAGAGCCATCAGGGTCCACAATGAAGGAAGAATGCTCTTACTTCAGCTCCTGGCATTCTGAAGACAAGAGGGTGAGCAGATCCCACGCCAGCCCCTGCTTCACATCATCACTCCTGAACTTCTGGTAAGGTTTTATATGTTGCAACAAGAGCTGATCAAGGTACTCCAAGGCCTTTTCTTGGACAGAGCTTTCTGCATCCATCACAACAGGCACCACTCCATTTAACCAGGCCTTCTGCACTAGAACATTGCTGTGCTGAGACTGAGAGAAACACACAAATTAGAAGCATTTTTAAAGCATTAGAGGATCCTATAGACCAGCAAAGGCCTTCAGTTCCTGCTACCAACTTTGAATTTTAATGAACCCCAGCACCGCAATGTGACAGCAGGTGGGACAAATGAACTTGTGTCTCCTCAACATCACAAGATATTTGATCATATCTATGATAAATACCTGGTGCTTCTGCTAAAGTACTGCAATACTTTGTTTTTAACTCTGTAAAGAATTATAACAGCATTGGAATAAGGCTCTACAGCAGATGATTTAACACTAAAAAAAAAAGAGCTTTGCTTAATATAAACCCTGTGCTCCAAGCCTGAGTTACAGACCCTTTGTGAATAAATAGAAAAGAAAGAAAAATATAGCAGTGCTATCATCTACACATTACATCTGAAAGTGATTCAGGGTTTTTTTTTTCGTAACTTGAGAAGGCCAGCAACATAAACATTTTCCCCATGACACATAAATCAACAGCCAGAAGAATCAGTGCTCCCAACAGTTGGAAGCGTTCTCCATAAATCACAAGTAGGTACCAGGATGAGTCATGACTTCCGAGTCAAAAGGGAACGAAGAAAATCAGAACAGAGTCATGAAATGCACTTCACTGAATGAAGAACTGATTGGTCTGGATCCTCCTCCTTTTAACCCCCAGTTTGCCCGTCTCGGTGTGCATCGGGATTCCCGGTTTTTCCCTCACCAGGAGGAGCTCAGTGATGGATTGCAGGGACTGTTTCCTCACGGACACGGCGGGGTCCCGGCACCGCTCCTGGAGGGGCAGCAAATCCTCTGCAGAGCAAGGGGTCACCTCGTGCTTCAGGATGCCCGTGAGGACCTGCAAGTCAAACCAGCAGCAGAGCTCTGTCGGGAGCACAGGCCACCGGGGGCTGAGTGGCAAATCAAAAACACAATCTACCCCCTGCCAACTTTTAACTGGAGATCCATCTCGCCGAGAGCGGAACAGCGCATTAACAATTCATGAGTGCCGGGCACAACCAGATGTGAAAATGAAACAGGGAAACATCATTTCACTCGTTCCTGTTTTGTAACAGCGCTCGGATGAAGGTGGATTTCACAATTTCACCCTGAAAATAACACGTCTCTTGTATGAGCCACGGTTTTTACCCGGTAATAAGGGAGAGGGGAGTTATTTTTATTTTTAATCAAAAAGCATCAAAACAAGAACTGTGAAGCCTTAACTGGGAAGCTCAAATCAGTGTGTGAACTGAGGGGGAAGAGCTGGAATGAAGAGGACTAACAGAGGAAGGCAGGCAGCAGCAGACACCTATTTTTTAAAACAAGGAAATTTCCATTGAAGCATCTCTTTAAAAGCTACGACCTCATTAAAAAAAATGAGCAACAGGCAAAGCTACACACAGAGGCTGGATATAACCTAATCCCTTTGCTAACAAGGTCAAAACAAACTAAGCAGCTAATATGCTTCAGTTTATGAGGAAGTGTCTTAATTGAAATGCCTATTGACATTTGACAAGAGCCTCTCTTTGCAAATGACGGAATAACAGACTGTCAGCAAGAGCATCAGAAAAATTTCCATCATTATGCCTGCATTATTTACTTATCAGGAGCTAGTAAACAAGATCTTTAGGGCCTAGAGGAACTCTGCAGGGAAAGCAGGAAGCTACAAGTGGGCAAAGTGACAGAGTTTGCCACAGAACCATGGCCTGATTATTTATATACATGACATTTTGGGTAATCACTGAGAACAGGGAAGGATGTAAAAAGCACTGTACCTGGAGAGCAGATTTCCTCACGTTGGTTTTCTCATCTCCAGCTCTCTCTCTCAGCATGGCCATAACTTCTTTTTCTATCCAAAACCAGGAAAAAAAAGAAATTAGCCACATCACCCTTTAGAATTACAGAATCCCAGGATGGTTTGGGTTGGAAGGGCTTCCACTTGAAAAACGTGTCTTAATGTACCACCAAAGAAAACGAAAAACCAAATTACTCAATTCACTATAAATCTGGAGTTTCTGACCTCTTTATTTGCCTGCATAAAAGAGGTTGGGTTGCCCTCACAGGCTGAAAGCTCCTCAGATGAATCATGCACAGCTCCAACAAAAGCCAGTGGCACAGGTAACCTGTGGGAAGGGCAGGTGGAGGGCAGAGCACAGGCAAATGGAAACAACACAGAGCCAAAATAGGTTTACACGGAGCTGAGAACACCCACAACCTTCTGGGAGTTCTGCCTCAGAGCTCCACACAGTACCAGGAATTCACATATGAACTGCTGTGTTCTACAGAGGGGCACTTACTCTGCTTATGAATTCCTTGAGGCTGCAGAATGGCAGCTCCAAGGAACCACTCCAGAGTCTACAAGGAAGCCAGAACACATCTCTCCTCCCTGAATGCCAAGTCAGGGCTCAAATTTTACTTTCCACAGCCCTATTCACATTTATTTCTGCATGTTGTCAGAAAAGAATACATCATCAAGCTGATGGCTTCCTAAATGGCACACAACTGAATGCACAGAGCCACAATTAATTATTTCTTCCCTTCTGAATCACCGGACTATTTGACTGGACATAATGACTTAAAACATTTTACCAGTGCTTTCAAGGTTTCTATTTATTGCTATTTGCTAGGTTTCTCACAGCATTAAGTTAGATTTCCCAAATATATGCCAAATTTGGAGATCTGTTAGAGAGATTCATATGGACATCCACACTGTTGCTATTAAGAAATAGGATTAGTCACAGGGAACTAATCAAAACTAGTTTAAAAATAAATTTTTATCAAAGGAAGCAAAGGGACTTTGATCTGGGCTTTCTTAAAGGGCAGTTAACTGCAGTTCCATCTTCCCCCTGCCTGAGAGCAGCTGGACACAAAGGGCACACACAGAACTTTTTCATGGCAAGATTTTTCCATGAAAATAGTCCAGTCTTGTGAAGGTGACCAAATCTGCTAAAATAATCACACTTTGACATTGATTTTACTCAGAGTGACTTGGAAAAGAGAAAGAAAAAAAAATAGCAAAACCAACAAAAAAAAACCCCAAGTTCTAAATGGCTGAGAACTCTCTGGGGAGGACAATGATTGTTTCCTTTGGGCAGAGGGAATTCTGCAGTGCACACCTGACCTTGCAGTTTATCCCCACCCTTCTTATCTTTGCCCTTGAGCATTTAGCACGTTCTGACTACCCCCAGCCAAGATTTATTTCTCTTCTAAAATATGAGAGCTGTTTGGTCTTCAGAGAAGTGCAAAATTAGCACAGGCATAAGCCAAGCACAAGCGTGTGCCAGACAGCTTCGCTAATGCACCTTGACTGCCTGAATTTCAGTATCCTCTTGAGCTCCAGACAGTCTTTTTTTTTTTTTTTTCATTCAAGCCTTTTCTTAATTTGTTTTGCCAAGTGCCAAGTGTATGCTCAGCTGGGTATCAGATACAAAACCAGGCATCCTCTGGCACGAGGAGTCTGCAGCTAAGCAGGGAATACACAATACTTTGAGTGGCCTGGAGGACTTTTCTATCTGAGAGAGCAGATTAACCAAATTTATCAGTGGACTGTTTTTCAAAAGGGAGGCTTTCAATGGAGAAGATTGGAGCCTGGCTCCTGGAGATAGGGAGGGAGATCCCCATGCGAGACGTGGAACAAAGACACGACTGCAGGATGTGAACCGAGCAGGGAATTGAATTGTCAGCAGTTCAAGGGAGGTGAGCAGCAAGAACTGAGGGCAGAGATACCGGCAGGGGCCTAAAGGTTAGGAAGAAAAGCTCTTACACGCAAGAGGAGAAGAAAGGGAGAGATTTAAAGAAGGAACGTCGCGGCCACAAAAGCCAACTTACATGCTGATTTCATGCTATCAACAAATTAGACCCAGCCTGCCATGCTGCATCAGGACATTTAATGTGACACTTCGCTTTCAACTCAATACCTGATGCTGCAGAGAAATGAATCCCTCCCTACAGAACACTGCTACTCTAAGGTGCTGTGCCTTGTGCAGCAAAATATATTAGCTCTTTGTGCACTGGAGCAAGAGATTTAATTACCCTGAAATTTATGGAGCTCCAAGTATTATATCCCACATCAATTACCATCCTTTTTGGGAAGAATAAATTACCTGCTTTTCAACAAGTGTTGCCACCACATTAGTAAGAACGAACATCAGTATTTCAAGATTAAAACGTATTTTTCAGACTGGATGGCAAGAGTATTTCTTTATGGCTGGCATTTCCAGCCCCTCCATCACCTATAAGTGTCTTTTAACAGCTCTACAGAAAGCTCTCCCCACTTCCTCTGAGAAATGGACAACACATGCACTTCAGAAAGTCTAATTTCAATTAAGGCTTTGGATGGTTATCTGAAAAGACTGGATTAATTTTTGACATACCCTCAAGCACAGCGGTATTGCCGCTATCTGTCAGCTCAGTACTTCTGAAAGCAGGTAAGGCCTTCTGTGGATGGTTGGACACAGCTGAAAGATAAAAGTTAAAGACTCGTAAAGGCATATGTTCACCCAGCAAGGAGGTTCAGTGTTAAACAGAGAGCCCTCCTGCATGCCCTAGGTTTAACAGATATTTAACAGAGTATTTTTAGGGAGTGGCATGCCAAAAAACCCCTCAGACTTAGTGGAAAAGAATGACTCTATACCTTCAGCACTGACTCTCCCATTGGCAGTGTTTGTGTTTGCCTCCAGCACTGTATGGACAGAGGCTGCCAAGAAAAGAAACAGAAAAAAAAAAAAAAATCAAACCAGTTGTTTTAATTCCAGATATTCTGTCATTCCAGATTTTTTTCAGGCAAGTAATCTAACCGTGGGATGCTCTGTGCATACTTCTGAGTGGTGCCATCTGGCCTTTTACCACACCTGAGGGAGCTGGGAATGCCAGTCACGAACAGAACAACTTAGCAGAAGCAAAAGGCAACTCAAGATTTAATCAGTTGTCAGGCAAGAATGAACCGCCTTTTTTTTTTTTTTTACCTCCAATGAGCAATTTCAGTTGCCTGTAAACATCCTTCAAAGGGACCTCACAGAGGAATCTCTTTAGAAGTGATACAGGAGAATAAGTCCCTTCCAAATATAAGGTTTCACGAGTAGTAAGACTCATCTGTTGCTTCTCATTACGACACAATACATAAGGATACTACGTGCCAATTTTTAAGTGCCTGACAACTCCTACCTCCCAGCAATTATTCCCCCAGGAAGTTCAAGAATTATTTTCTCTTTGTAATGTGACTCTTGGGGATGGTCCCGTGCAGGGCCAGGCAGGAGCTGGACTCGATCCTTGCAGGTCCCTTTTAACTCTGCATATTCTGTGATTCTGCCATTCTGTGATGCATCCACAGCACTTACAGCTCTGCACTAAGTCCCGGATGCTCTCCAGGGTAGCAGCAGACTTCATCTCCAGGCAGTGGGCAAGGCTGCTCAGAGCTTTGCTCCGGACCGCGGGGGCTTTGTCCGAGCACGGGCCGAACACCATGACCTGCACTAAGAACTTGTGCTTCAGAAACCTCTGGTGATCCAGGGGCAAGGAGTCATCCAGGCTCCTCTCTGGCACATCCAGCAAAGCTAAGGCCACGTCAAGAGCAAACACTCTGTAGGAAGTCTGTGGGAAGGAAAAGCACAGGAGGTGCTCTGTTAATGTAAGCAAAGGCGCAGGCACTGCCTGCTCGCTCTACCTGCCTTTGGGTGCCAGCACTAGCACTGCTGTTCAGCGCTGACATCGAACCTTTCATCTTCAGAACATCAAGGAGATGCACTTACTTTGCTAAGGAGTGAGAATTTATACAGCCAAGCGATGAATTCAGCGAACTCCACACGAGGCAGTTTGTTCAGCAGAGTCACCAGGGCCTGTGCAGCGTACGTGCGATAATCAGCCTTGTCTGGGACCTGAAAGACGAGGGCAGTGGCATGGTGTGACATTTCAGTGCTCTGCTCTAGAAGCCAGAAAGGCATTTCAGGGCTTAAGGTAAGTATTTTTTTTTTTTATTTAATGAGGTGATATGGTCACATTCATCAACGGCTGGGAGAACAGTCACAGCTCTCTGGGTCACTACTTCACTATAACATCCATTCATTCCTTACAAAACGTTGTGAAAACAGATTTCCTAATTATTACAGATACTACAGACACTCCAGTGCATCCACACGAGTTCTCCAGCTCAAGAAGCAATAAAGCCTGGCATACCTTGACACAGATATGTTGCAGTAACGTTCGAAGAAGACGAAATACAGCTTCTTTCAGCTCATCTACCAGGGAACTGCACAGCAGAAAGAGAAGCAGATTTTAATAAAGCTGGTTTATAACAGAAGAAAAATCAAGACAAGGATATTCCTTTTGGAATGCCTTTGAAAGGGCAGGAAAAGTGGGCATTCTGGAATCATGAGTGCTAGTGAAGCAGGATGTGATCAGAGAATCACATTCACATTAACCTGCCTTTGCAGGCAGAAAACATTTCTTCCAATACCCTTCCACAAGTAAACAACAACAGAAAAAAAAAAAAGCTTCTTTGTTCTCAATCTACTTTTATATGTTGTCTGGGAATCTCTGCACAAACTACACTTTCCAACCACATGGATCCCCAACAGGGGGAATAATAAACATAGGCAAAACATATCATTAAGTAGGAGAAAGCAAAGAACTAAGGAGAAATGAGCTCCATGCTAATCTTTCATTTCCTTTACAATTCTCTATAGTAAAACACAAGACCTGAAAAACTGACACAAAGCAAAACACAGACGTTGGGTCCCTTCCACTCACTGCCACTCTCCTGTCAGACAGCGCCTTCTTCCCCCTCTGCCACCAAGTTGAGCAAATTCCCATTACAGACATTTTAACTAAACCTCATTTGCACAAACAACTTCAAAGCCAGCGCCAGCTTGCCTCATCCCTTTATCAACTCAACAGCAAAGTGAAGGCAGGAGAAGAAAAGAGCAGCCACAGCCAGGAAGGGCAGTGCCAGAGCTCTGTACATCACCTGATGAATTTTACAGCCCGATTCCTGGCACTGGTCACCGCTGATGTGATGGGAAGGACTTCGTATTTGGAACCGAAAGAACTTTTCACCATCAGAATGACATAGAGCATTTGATAGAAGACATAGTGAAGAGCCTGGAAAGGAAAGGTTATTTTCAGGTTTGTTTCTGTGGATAAGCCTTCTGAAATAATTACTAGGTAATTCTGAACCAAACAAACTTCGATCCAAACAATAGCACATGTTAAAGTGTGACTCCTGGCAGAATCATTCCAAGAGGACCTGTTCATTAACGCACACAACATCCTTCCTGGCTGTCATAATCTCATGTAAGTTCAGTAAAGCCTAAGAAGGCTTCCTGAAAGCATCAACAGATCCTCTCTAAAGCTGTGGACTTTAATTCCCCAGAATCACGTGGAATTTGAGTAAATTCATTGGGTTTTGCCCAGAAGACATCTTAAACTAAATGCCTGTTTTTACCACCATGTGCACTTGAACTTCTGAAGTGTTCTCCCTGCCACACTCTTGGGAACACAGTTTTGCCTCAATATCCTGACAATTTCTGAGCAAACAGGAGAGGCAGGGAAGGTGAGGCAGGTCTGGGAAGGGAGGCAACTACACCTTCCTGCCACCACAAATGCCAACAGCTCCAAAAAGCTCCTGCTGCGCTGAGAAACTAAGCAGAACCACGCTGGCCTAAGGCTGCTAAAGCTGGGCAGGCGCTCAGCAATGCATCAGGTTAGTGTGTACTAAGCTGCAGCCTTTCCTAACCAGACAGCTGTTAATACCCAGCCTTGGTGGCCCAGAACTAGCCCAGGTGGGTTCACACAGACTCACAGACACAGAGCCCGGTCACACCCACACTCCAGAAGCCCCATCTCCACAGCAGAAGCACTCAGAAGTGGGGCACGACCCAGACTGCTTGGACTTCAACCAAATAAAAATGTAAAGCTGCAGACAGGTTTCTGGTAGAACTGGCTGGTCCATGATCACAGACTATGCCCTGAACGAGAACCAGCCCTGCACATAACACAGCCCCATCATGCTCCAGCGCTGCACAGCCCAAACCCCACACACGCTGCCAGGCGGTGCTGGAGCTCCATCTAGCAGGGAATGACAACATTCCAGGCAAATGCTGGAACCTGGAATTCTATTCTTTAAGACACAGGTCTAACGCTACTGCAGCTATGCCTCTGTTCTCGATTCATTTGCCACGAGAGTCACTGGAGCACGGAATTCACCGCACGCAAACGCATCAGCAAACAAGCCGAAGGGAATAAGGACTGGGGTGGAAAAAAACATCTTTCCTCTCCCCCAGCAAAGGCCTGCACATGCACAAAAAGGAAAACTGATGTGAAAAGCAAAAATAACCATGTAAGCAAAAATAACATACAGGAAAAAAGAAAGCACTCCTTTTCAATACTGCTGTGAGGATGTAAAAGATGTTGTTTTAACTTGTACCTTATCTTCTGTACTGTGGAGAGGGGAACACAGTGAGTACAGTCCATAGTAGGCCAGCTCAGGAATGTTCTTGGCTTCATTAACATCCCTAGGAAAAAAGGCAGAGAAATGTCTCTCCCTCTCAAGAGAAACAGTTACTACAACTATTACAATTAACAGAACTCATTGACTGGAAAACATTCAATATTCACAAGATGCTGTTTGCTCTTAGTAGGTGGAACATGTTATAATTATCTTCAGCAAAAGAATTCATCACTTTCATTTCCATATAAACAGAACAATAACACAAGCACTGAGGGCTTCACTTGTTCACAGCATCGTATAAATATTAAGAATCATTTGCTCACATTGCTGATGAAAACTGGAACTCGTGCACCTCTGGCTCAAAGTTTGCCATTTCCACAAAGACCTGCCAGGGAACAAAGCCAAGCTGAGCTCATTCATCCTTGGAAGTGTCCAAGGCCAGGCTGGACGGGGCTTGGAGCAACCTGGGATAGTGGGAGGTGTCCCTGCCCATGGCAGGGGGGAGGAACTGGATGAGCTTTAAGGTCCCTTTCAACCCAACCCAAGACTTATGATTCTGTGAACAAAACAGCTGGCACCAGCCAGCAAGTCTAAGCCTGAGTCAGACACGGAGCAGACAGTCCACTTCCAGATTTCCACTGACAACTCAGGGACTTGTCAAAGGAAGGCAGGGCTGCCACCCCTCCATGTGGAGTGCTCTGCATTATGTTAGGGGGCATAAGGTTCCTCAAGTTGAACCTTTATTACCTTCAGGCAGCTCTGAAAACAATGAGGCTTCTCTTTTAGGGAGAACTTGGGTAGAAGCTTCAAGAAGTTTTTCAAAAGAAGGAAGACTGCATTGCGGATTTGAAGAAGATCTTGTGTTGAAAAGTAAACATGTTCATCGTTTTCTTCCTCCTCCTCCTCCTCTTCCTCCTCTTCCAATCTCTCTTCCATCTACACAGGTAGAAAAGAGAAACATCTAGCTAACAATTTGCTTATTAACAGCAATTTATATCTGAAGAGATTACACAAACATCTTACACTGGAGTTGTTGTTCCTGCGCCGTTTTCCTTTCTTTCTATTCTGTCCTGGATTGCTCTGAGAGCTTTGAGAATGCGTCTTTTTTCTTCCCCTCAGTTCTTGAGGCCAACACTTTGTCAGGGTGTGAAGGCACTTATCAAACATCACCTCATGGAACAGCTGGTTACCGATACTGCCTGCTCACAAAAGACAACATCAGTCCTCTGGCAGACAAAACACAGAGAACACCAAATCACCCAGGCAACATGGCCCATCCCTGGAAGTGTCCAAGGCCAAGTTGGACAGGGTTTGGAGCAATCTGGGCTAGTGGAAGGTGGCCCATGGCAGGGGGGTGGGACTGGATGAGCTTTAAGGTCCCTTCCAACCCAAGGCCGCCTGTAACTCTATGATCTCTCCACAGGTGTTGTCCTAGAGCCTAACAAAGCTCAAGAGAAGAACAAAGAACTGTCTGAACAAAGCCCAAGTGCACCAGGATTGACGTGTCATCAGCACTGACATTCTGCACTAGGATCACCAGCTGGCTGACCCCTTCCAGATGAATAGCAGTAAATCTTCAGAGCGTGCCTCAGCCTTGAATACAAAGAGATCCTGCTGTGAACCGACCTGCTGGAAAATCTCACCTGCTGCTTACTTTAAACTCATATTTTTTGTTATCACAAACAAGCCCATCCAAACCTGCCGCACAGCGAAATCCTCTCCAGCGACAGAGCAGGAACAGGATATTGTTGTCAGACCAGAGGGATCTGTGTGGTCCCAGCTCTGTGCACTGTGCAGGTTGTCCTGTCAACCTTGTCACGGGATACAGATCTGGACTGAGGCCATCAGAGCACTCTGTTACAGGAGGCCAAGCTGCCACCAGACTGTAACACTCACCACTCACCCCACGACTCAGCTTGGCCCCTGAGGATTTCAGGGACAGCAGGTAAACGGTGCCAACACCATCACCTGCTCCACCTGGGATCCTTAGAAACATTCAGACCTTGCCTGAATGATGCTTCATCCAGCAATAAAGAGGCCCATCCCGTGGCTCACCTGGGATCTCCAGCAGCAGGAAGTACAGCCCAGCTGCGTGCAGACCATAAACCCTCTGCTGTGCATCTGCTCTCTTGTCCTGCCCCGCGTGCACAAAGTGGTGGAGCACGGCCACCAGAGCCTGGTGGGACAGGCTGCTCTCGGCAAGCACGGTCCAGATATTCTGAGGCAAAACAGGCAAAGGGCAGTGAGAAACCCCATACCAACACAGCTGTCCAAAATTAGCCCTTATTCAGATTTTGAACAGCCGTCACTGCGACCAACTCCCTATAAATTACATATTTTAAAATAAGTCTTAATAATAGTTAATAAGATGTTTAATTATAAATATATTACTAAAACTTGGGAGTAGCTTCTCTCTGAAGCATTCCAACACATAGTACAAGAATTGTTTGGGGCAGTCTTGGAGTATTTTGCCAATTTCAAGGCAGGACAGAGGTGATAAGCAGAAAATGAGGGGGGCTGGCTCTGTGCTCAGCAGACACCAGGTGGTCTCACCTCTCTGTTCTCCGAGTCCTCAGCAGCAAACGGTGACAGAGCACTGTACAGGCTGGTAAAGTTGTCGAGCCCGTCGTCCGTAATCTTTTCTGCTATACAGGAATCCAGAGGCTCGGTGTCCGTGAAATCCAGATCCCACACCGTGTTCACCCACACTGAGAGAAAAAAAAAAGAGTTTATAAGCGCCAAGCACGACGTTTCTCCAAGACACGTGTTCCCACCCCAAGTACCGCTCCGAAATAAACATGGAATAGACCGAACCCAGCGCGACACCGTCAGTTTCAGCAGGGAGCGCATCCCAATGCCTGGAGTCACCCGCACTCCGGGACCGGCACAGCGATCGGAACCGGGACCAAGACAGAGAGAGACCGGGAGATGGAAACAGAGACACCAGGACTGGGACAGGGACCGAGAGATGGAAACAGAGACACCAGGACCGGGACCGGGACCGTGAAACTGAGAGATCCTGTCACAGAGCGGAACAGAGACCGCGACGAGAGATCAGGACCCGGACCCAGACCGAGAGACCTGGACCGGGACAGAGACCGAGACCAGAACCAAGACAGAGAGAGCGAGAGACTTGAACCGAAACAGGAAGACCGAGAGATCGGGACAGAGACTGAGCCCAGCAGATCGTCCGGGACTGAGAGAGAGAGATGCGAACAGAGACCGAGACTGGCACCGGGACAGAGCGCGGGACCGGGACCGGGAGAGTCCCTGTGAGACACCGGGACCGAGAATGAGAGAAGAGACAACGAGATCGGAACAGAGACCAAAACCAGGACACACAGGCAAGGAGACAGACAGACAGACAGACAGAAAGACAGACAGAGCCCCGCACCCGCCGCCAGGTCCCGCAGCTGCCACGGCCCGAGCGCCGCCCGCAGCGGCTCGGCCGCCATCCCGCCTTTCCCGGGCAGGATACGAACGCTCCAACCGCGGTCCCGCCCGCGGCCGCAGCCAATGGCGGTGGCGGCGCTGCCCCGGAAGGAGCGGGGCGGGCCCCGGCCCCGGCCCCGGCCCCGGCCCGGGCGTGGCGGTGGGTGCGCGGTGGGAGCTGCGGTGCGCGGGTCCCCCCCCGGCATCGCTGCCGCATTGCGGCCCCCCCCCCCCCCCCGCGCCGCCCCGGCCGCCCCTCCGCGAGTGTCCCCCCCGGCCGTCCCACCCGCGGGTGTCCCCGCCGCGGCCCCCGAGGGGGCACCGATCCGCCAGCGGGGCCGCGGGGTCCGCCCGCGCCCGCCCCCCGCGCCGGGGCCATGAGCTTCTTCGGGTTCGGGCAGAGCGCGGAGCTGGAGCTGGTGCTGAGCGACGCCGAGAGCCGGCGGCGGGTGGAGCACAAGACGGAGGAAGGCAAGAAGGAGAAATACTTCCTCTTCTACGACGGGGAGACCGTGTCCGGGCGGGTGGTGCTCACCCTGAAGAACCCCAACAAGCGGCTGGAGCATCAGGGCATCAAGGTGGAGTTCATCGGGCAGATCGGTGAGTGGGGCGGCCTGCGGGCCCGGCTGTGCCTTGCTGGTGCCCCCCGTGGGTCCGGGGAGCATCGCGGTGTCCCGCGGTACCCGGGGTGTTTGCCGGTGCCAAGGCTTCGGGGGGGCGTCACTGCACCCCGCAGCACTGGGATCCATCCCCCTGGTGCCAAGGGTTCGGGGATCCTCGCCGGTGGAAAGGGTCTGGGCAGCATCGCTGCAGCCCACAGTACCACAATATTTGCTGGTGCTAAAAGGTCTAGGGAGCATCACTGCATCCCCGTGGTACCCGAATCCCACTGGTGCAAAGGGTCTGGGGAGTATCACTGGTCCCAGGAACCCTGGGAGTTTCACTGCACTCCACGGTACTGGGATCCCCCTTGGGCTGGATCTAGGGAGCATCACTGCACCCCATGGAACTGGGATCCCCCTGGTGCCAGGGGTTGAGGGATCCTTGGTGGTGCCAAGGGTCTGGGGAGCATCGCTGCACCCCACGGCACCAGTATCCTCGCTGGTCCCAAGGATCCAGGGAGCATCGCTGTGCCCCACGTACAGGATCCTCGCTGGTGCCAAGTAGGTTACTCTCGCTCCCAGGAGGTGCTCGGCTACACGCAGCATTCCCACGGCTGCCTGACATTATTCCACCCTCCCAGCTGGGCAGCCTGGCCTGTTCTCCAGGCTTGAGCCCTGGCGGAAGGGAGGGCATTCCAGTCCTTTTCCAGGTCATTGTTGCCTTGTCCTAATTTCTTGCTTCTGCTCGGTCACCCATTTCGGCTCTGAAATGGGTGAAATTCAGTTCCGTGCAGCTGCAGGTCTGAGGCAGGACCTCCTGCCAAGGCCAGCTGCTGTGCTCACTGCTCTGAGCTGTCTGTCTGCATCTCTCATGTACCTGCTGACTCTGTTAGGGATTGCAGTGGCTCTGCCAAAGGCAGTGATGGGTGGGTTTTTCCGTGTGTCCCAAATCATCAATGGCACCTTCCCAGCCTTGACCCCACACCACCTTTTCCCTGGGTAGATCCCCTTTCCTGAGGCCTGCAGGCTCAGCTTGGCTGACTCCATCTTTAACTTGCAATGGTAACCTTGCATGGTTAGTTGGGTGACTTCAAGCTGTTCAAAACTTGTGGTTATCTGTGCGTGGAACCAATTTAGGTTGAATATTTCCTGCTTTCGTGGAGGAGAGGCAGCTGCCACACCCACCCTTCGATCTGAGTGGAGCTGTCCGTGTTTTCACGGACAGGAGCTTGTTTCACCTGTGGTTGCTGTGCCCTGAACATGCCACCGAAATGCTGGCAGTCTGTTTTCTCAATAAACATTATGGCTCTGAAAACCTGAAATTACAGCTTATACCTATTTGACAGGCTAATAATGCCTGCTAAGTGTGGGCTACATCCATCCTTCCTCTGCTTATGGCTGCAGAATGCCAAACTGTGACCTTCCGAGGTAGCAGAGAGCTCACTATACACTGACATTTGCTTCCCCTTGTTTTGAGTTTGATCTTTGCTTTCTGCATCATGTGGCAAGATGATATGGGCTGATTCCTCTTTTTCTGTGGCACGTGGCTTCTCCCTGTCAAGCCAGCGAGCACTTTCCTCTCAGTGGACACAGGGATTCAGTGCAGAGAGGGCTGGTTATTTATGTCACCTGCCTGTCATCAAAGGGCTTGATGACATTTGCTGTTGTGTGTAAGTGAGGGGACTTCCAGTGCCAGTACTTCCATTAGAGAGATAAGGTGAGCAAAGGGCTGCAAGAAACAAGACATCGCTTACACGCTGAAACCTCATCGTGCATCTCAAGGAGGGAAGAGCTGCAGTTCCTGAACACCACCGATTCCTCTGAGCAGCCTCCTCTGCACAGTTTAGTGCTGACACTGAACTTGTGTGTGTGTGATTGTCTGATGACTTGAGTTTTTTGTTTCCTCACCTAACCAGAAAGGCTTCACCTTGCAGAAGGACTGTGTGGGTGTCCTGTAGGCACCAGCTCACACGCAGGGCTGGGAAGGGCAGGTTTCGTTGGTGGTGATGTGTAATACCGAGCTGTGCTAATGCAAATTGCAGAGTTTTAAGCTCCTGGTGCTTTGAACTTCAGGGAGAAAACTTGGTGGAAGTGTGGAGGATTGCTTTCATTAAATGAGGAAACCTGTAGTTTCCTGCTGACGCAAGAAGGCTGTGGGAAAAGCTGAGGCAATGTGGCCGTGCTGGTTACTTGAGCTGGTTTGAGCAGTGCTCCCAAAGGTGAATGCTCTTCCCTCACCCCTGCTCACATGGCCCTTGCTGTGTTATCCTGGGGCTGGTGGAGCAGTTGACTCAGCTGCCTCCCCACACACTTGGTAGTCGTGCAGCAGCAGTCGCTGTTTATTCCCTGGTGTGAATCAAGACCACTCAAACTCTTTGTTGAGATAAAGGATAAGCAGGAACAGTTGGAAGCCTCCTGGTCCTTTTGTTTTGCTCTGTCACTGTCTGCTGTTCCAGAGAAGCAGTGGTGGTTTCTCCTCGCAGTGGCAATGCCTTTGGCCTGGAATATAGTGTAGAAAATTATTGGAAGGGTTTGCTTGAGCTTCAGCTCCTCTTCTCAGCCAGTCTGACCATATTTAATATCGATAAAAGGTGCCTCATGTCACCCCAAGGCAAGCTCCTGATTCATAATAGCAGGTGAGGCTGTGTGGACCTTTTCCTTCTTGGCTGAGGGAGGAAAGTTGTGGCTTGCACATGGCTCTGAGAGAGAGCAGGGAACAAGTGCAGTGCCTTGCATCCCCAGGCTCCCCTGTCAGGGTCTGTGAATGGTAAGGAGAGCGTAGTGATCTGGACAAGAGAGTTGCTCGTAGCTGTGTGAAAGCTCCTGTGTCACCTGGGATTAAACCTGGACTTGTGTATTCCCCAGAACTCTACTATGACCGAGGAAACCACCATGAGTTCGTGTCTCTGGTGAAGGACCTGGCCCGCCCTGGGGAGTTCACTCAGTCACAGACATTTGACTTCGAGTTCACACACGTGGAGAAACCCTATGAGTCCTACACGGGGCAGAACGTGAAGCTGCGGTGAGTTTGCTGCCCTTGCTGGCCCCACTCCTGGTTCTGTGCAGTGTGCAAGTGCTGCTGTTCACTGGGGTGGTAACAGGAGTGCAGAATCCCTTCCCAGACATCCCTGCAATGGAACTCCAAATGAATTTGTTGGGGGCTGAGTTGTAAAAGGCTGCCTTTGAGGGCTTTATTTTACAAGCATGAATCAGGCTTTATGGAGCTTGTTTTGCCTCGTTTGAGTGACAAGAGAAATCAGCCCCTTCTGAATCAATCAAATACTTGCTAATTTATTTGATAATTCAAAAAATGAAAATAAATTGTTTGGTTTAGTCTCCGATGAGGACGTTTTTGCTGTAATCAGCCTTGTCAACTTTAATTGTGCTCTGTATGCAAACAGATGCTGAGTGAGGGAACCTTTGCTGCAGCTCAGACCCCCAAAACAAGGCTTAGGTAACTCAGGCTCACAAGTGCATGGAAGCTGAGATGAGTCTTAGAATAGTCTGCTTTTCCATTTGAAAATTCCCTTCTGTCTTCCCCAGCATGGCTGCTCCACCAGCCAGGGTACCAGTAAGGCTGCTTGGATAGTCCAGTACGACCCAGTCAGCCCTTTGTCCTTCCCTGCTCCTCCCTAATCCGAGGGGTCTGCCCTCACAGGTATTTCCTCCGTGCCACTGTGAGCCGCCGGCTGAACGATGTGGTGAAGGAGATGGACATCGTTGTGCACACCCTGAGCACCTACCCGGAGCTCAACTCCTCCATCAAGATGGAGGTGGGCATTGAGGATTGCCTGCACATCGAGTTCGAGTACAACAAGTCCAAGTAAGTGCCCCAAGAGCGGCTGGTGGCCGTGGGCAAACATCTGCTACAGGTTTGGAAGCCCGAGGGTGAAAGTGGTGGCAGTGGTTGATGCACCATCTGCAATGTCCAGTGGGGCTGTGGGTAAGAGCAATTTCCTGCTCCTCAGCCCCAGCCCTGGAACCCTGCACAGGGTTTGATCCTGGTGCTTTCTTCCCTCCCGTGGCAGGTATCACTTAAAAGACGTGATTGTGGGGAAGATCTACTTCCTGCTGGTGCGAATCAAGATCAAACACATGGAGATCGACATCATCAAGAGGGAAACGACGGGCACGGGGCCCAACGTGTACCACGAGAACGACACGATAGCGAAGTACGAGATCATGGACGGGGCTCCCGTGAGAGGTGAGCGGGCACATGAACCCTCAGAACTCCTCTTCTGGAGGCTTCTGGGGTGGGAATATCTTGAAGTATCTTCTGCATGCTCGGCTGTAGCATCTTGTTCCAGTGGTGGGCTCAGGGCAGTTGGCACATGGGGTTGATACGATCCCCTTCCTTCTCTGGTGCCATGAGGGGGAACTGAGGCACAATGAGCTGCGATTCTTTTGATGCAGCAGTGGCAGAACCAGATATAAATTCAGTGTTGGTGTGGGCCACCAGCTGGCATTGCTGCACCTCGGAGCAGAAAGGTGGTGTTCCTGCTGTGTGCCGCTTGTTTTCTGGTTCCATTGCCCGGCAGTGTCACCTGCCAGGGAAAACTATCACCTTACTCGTGTTTTCCTGCAGAGCTGTCGCGATTCAGGTT